GAGAGAGAGAGAGAGAGAGAGAGAGAGAGAGAGAGAGAGAGAGAGAGAGAGAGAGAGAGTTATGTAATGAACTAATATTTTAATCAATCATTTGAAATGCTGGTTGGGCCCATCTTGTGGGGACGGGAAAGCTAGAAATTCACAGAATCCGAGTTGGAAGTGATGTCAGCGGTTCTCTCGTGTGTTTCCTCCCACGGGGAGAACATCCTCTGAGTTGTCTCTGCAAACATTCCCTCTCCCAGCTCAAACTCACCCCTTTAACTGTGAGAACATTTCGGCCATGTCGAACTAAACTTGGTCCTCTATAGCTTCTAATTGCTGGTGTTTTTTCCATTCCTTTGGCTCAGCCTCTGTAGCACAGACTTCAAAAATACTTGGAGACACATGCCCTGCCTCCTTGTCGTTTCTTCCTCTTTCCACTAAACATTCCCATCTCCAACTTTTTCTCCTGTGAGTTGAGCTCCAAAGTCCACACCTTCATGTCTGCCCTACACTGGCAGTAGGAAGACGGAGGGATGTTCAGGACTAGGACAGAATGCAGCAGACAGAACATGGTCCGGATAATTAGAATGCAGTAATTGTCTGTGAGTAAGGCTTGTTCTTTCATTAGTGTTGAGTAAACTTACGCTTATTGCCTAATCACCTCTCTCAATGATGTAAGTTCAGCCCTAGCACCACGTGAAAGAGAACCGGGATGGCACACACTCGATGCCAGTGCTGGAGAGGTAGAAGGAGAGGTAAAAGCAGGACGCTTCCTAGGACTCATTCTTTTAAAACTAATTTTTGGCAAGTTATTTTTCCACTTTCCTATGAAAGCCAGGTCCTAGCTTTTCGTTCACGTTCCTCATTCCGCCCACTTTTAGAACCTTTAGCATCTCTAGGGAGAGCCTCAGAATACCTTTCCCTTGATGTTTATTTCCCTGGCATCAGGTTTTTCCTTGCAGAATGACTGTCTCTAGACTTTTATTTAGAGAATTAGATGAAGTTCCCAGCCATGTCATCATTATCTACTTAGGCTAAAATTGAATATCTTGTATTATTGCTTTTTATTCTTGTATTGATGTCTCTTTCAGATTCAGATGGTCTGTAGTTAGATGCTTTATGTATTTCCTCAAAGGAGATCTTGAGAGTGAATCCTTGAGGTGGTGAATATCGCCCAATAGTCTTCTCTGACCCCAGTAACTGGGGTGAAATAGCGCGACAGGAAGATCTTAAGTGACATCGTATTTCTCCATCCAGCCTGTAGATGTTATTGCATTTTCTCTAGCTTCTAGTTTGGAAAGCAAGTATTTCAATGTTTCTGGCTATTTTTTTGTGTGTATTTTTTCCTCTGTCTGGGCAGAAGCTTTTAGCTTTTCTCTTTATTGGTGGTGTGTGTGTGGTAGAAATCCTGTCAAACAGTGTGCATCACACATCTCTTTCTGAGTCTTTTCTTAGAAGGTCCTGTTAGGAGCTAGAGATCAGCCACAGTAGGGATGATGTCATAGACATTAGGGAGACATCTTTCTAATGCACCAAGCTGACCAATTGCTGCACTGCTTGAAGCCTCCTGTGATTTTCTCCACTTGTTGCAAGGCAAAGGCCAACCAACTCCCCTTGGCTTACGAGGCTTTCTTATGTCCTAAAGATGATATCTGCATTAACTATAAAAATTCCCATCTGCAGCAATGCCACTGTCAGGTGCACTTTGGGAGAAGTCCAACAGCTTGCTTCCAACCCAGTAGATGCATTTCTTCCTTGGAAAACATTATCTCCCCACCCTCATTCCACTCAACTGTCATGATGCCCCCTATGCAGCCACCTACAGTAGCCATGCTGGCTTTGGCTTATTAGCATACAGTAACAAAACCACAACAGAAGGTGAAGCTTGTAAGCCACAAAAATCTGTTTCTCAGAGTTCTGGAAGTTGGCTATCCAGGATTAAGGCATAGACATATTTGGTGTCAGGTGACGATACATATTACTGCCTTATATATAGTTTCGGATGTCACGGTCTTCCCACAGGGGAAAGGTAAAGATGCAAAGTTTGTTAACCAAAACTTAAGGATAAAGTGGAAATATAATGGAAATCTGACTTGGTCGTTTGGTCCAAAGAGGTAGCTGACACAGCTCTGGAGAAAACCCAAGCAACTTGTTCTGCTGAACAACAAGCAAAGAGTCATAATAGAACTAGCCAGAAAGGAAGGGATGTTTGAAACCATACAGAACAACTGATGAAACTATGCCAATTCTTGTGTTTTAAAAATAAATCTTTCAGAGCGATCATGGGGTTTTAAAACACACATCATTAAAATCTACTTTCTAATAATTTAGTGTATGTTTGCGTGTGTGGGGGTTGGGTGGGTGAGTGGATGGTTTGTGTGTGTCTGTGTGCACATATGTATGTGGGTAGACGCACCCGCGTGAACATATGTGGAGATTAGACATTGATGTCTTCATCACTGTCAGTCTTATTTATTCAGACAAGAACTCTCATGGAACTGGGTACTCACTTAATGGCTAGGTGGGCCAACCAGCAAACTCTGGGACCCAGCTGTCTATGCCCCCTCCCAGTTCTGGGGTTACAAGTTCATGTCATCACACTCAGCTTTTCACTGGGTTCTGGATATTGAAACTCCCATCCTCATTCTTGTGTAGCAAAGGTTTTATCTACCAAGTCAACTTTCTGATATTTTTTTGAGAGAACAATTACCCTGATAATATCATACCAACTTTAGAAGTTATATCGTATTATCTCGTGTATTATGTACAATATGAATAGCTCTATAAAATCCACATATAAAAATAACATTAATCTGTATCTTCTAGTGATGATTCCTTACTGTATTTAGAATGAGGAGTTTGCTGACCTTTGTAAAGTTTCCTTTGGATTGAGAAAACTGGTGGTGACTGTGGACCAGTGTTAGGCCCTAGGCCCACCACAGCTGTGCCTTGATAAGTCAAGCTGTCACCAGCCCCATGCAGATGTCTATTGCTGGATTGAGTGTTCTCCCGTACCATGTGCCTTCCGAAAGTCACAGCAGTGACCAAGCTTGACCTCTACAGTTCAAAACCACTTGCTTAGCCATCAGTGGGCAGCGGTTTCCACTATGTCCACTCCTCCACAAGAAGTCATACATAAACACCCCTACACTTTCACGAATGCTGTGTTTCAAATAGCCCTGGGCACTCTTGTACTAAAGGTTTTCTTTTGTTCAGCTAGCAGGGGTGAGCTGCCCCAACTCCAAACTAAGTAGGCAGATGGAGGCACTTCTTACAGCCTTTCTTTCATTCACTTTATGAATGCCCTTTTCTAAATGCCTTTGGCTCCTGTTGAAATATGGTTTTCTTTGGTGTTTTTGATTGTTTATATTACTATTTTCCCGCTTATGAAACCTGTATTCTCTTACTGTACTGGGATCAGTCAGCAAATGCTCACTTAGGCACTTCTGAAGCTCTGCCATGGTTGGCGTGTGCCCTTTGCTTTCATTCTAATGTTTCTGGGTTATATCCTAGCACTGGAACTTCTGTAATGGGTTAAATGTGTGTTCTCTAGGTGGGACGTATTGTGATAACTGGAATTTTAACTCTCTCATCTCCCAAGTGTGTTTGTCATTATACAATGGTATTTAAAAGTAATTTCGTGCTTATGGTTCTACTCCTCAGGCATATTTTTATTCATATTTCATAAATACAGTATTTATTCATACTGATTTCCTATCATTTTCTCTAAGATTTTGAAATGTGATTGCATAATTACATACTATTTTGTTTTTCTTGATCTTTGAGTCTGTCGAGACAACCCTTCTTAATTGCTACCTTTGTGGTCTTCTTGTCTTTTTCCAATTAAAATTCCACTCATCCAACCATGTTCTAAATATTTAAAAGACTTGCACTTGATTCATGTCTGTCATTTGGAGTGTGTGTAGTCTCACTTAGTAACTTCTGCGTGCACACGGGTATTGTGTCCCCCGTTTTCCTTTTGTTCTCAAGAGTTACTGTTGCTTGTCTAAGGTCTCACATTCCATTCCTTCTCTTCCTCGTGTGTAACAGAAGCTGAGAAAACCATGAGTTCATCAGGAACTGCAATTTTAGGCTAATTTTATACATGCCATTAAGACTTTTGTTTCCTGACCTCTAACTATGGCTACCTCTAACTTTTTAACCAGAAAAGTCACAGATTTCTCTTTTTCTCCGTCGTCCTATTGGATTCTATTTAATCTCTCACTATATGCATTTTGGGCGAGAGAACAAAGCTGTGCATTTATGCCTTTGAAATTTATTGAGGTTTATCTTTGCGGCCTAGTGGCAGCCACATCTGTCAGTCTTCCCCAGATGTTTGAGGAAAAGATCTTCTCTTTTTAGGCTACAAAGCTGATTCTTAGCTGTCAGGACTGATTTTGGTTATGCATAAAATATTCTGTATCCATGGCTTTTGTCGTCACTCACTCTGCAAAGAAGATTTCAAGGTATTCATAATAAGGCTTTTAAACTACATCCACCATGACTTTGCAAGCAGGACAACGTAAGGGTGGCATCTGTCTGTTCTGGCACAAATGCAGATTTTGCTTGTTTTCTTAATCTTATTGGCCTTTTCATATGGGAGTTTGACTAGAGTTTAATTTTTAGATGAATTGACTTCTGCTCCTTTTTATCCCAATGATTTCATTGCCCATCTTCTTCCATTATTTTTATTATTTGTAAACCCACTACATACATGTTCAAACACACACACACACACACACACACACACACACGCGCACACACACACACACACACACACAGAGAGAGAGAGAGAGAGAGAGAGAAGCTCAGCTCAGATTTTCTAACCTTCAGTCTCATCATGTGAAAATATTTTTAGTGTGCATTTTGAGTCAGGCATAAGGAGTCTAAGCCTGAGATTTATATTTCTTTCACAAAACCCTTTTTCTCCTCTGAGTCTCCTCTTCTTTGCAAATGAACCTTATTTGATTCTTAATCCTGGACTTTACAGACAGCTCACCAAGGAGGTCCTGACATCCTAGCCTATCGTTCACACTGCAACAGTGCGTGCTTCTGCTCAAAAACAGACTCTGAAAGTTTCCAAAATAAGCAAGAGGCACTGTTGTTTCCTTGCAGCCTTCCCGCCGATCACGTCCTCCAGGCCAAGTGTGCACATTCCACATCTGCCTTCTTCCACCTCTTCCTTCGCCGTCTCCCCTGCATACTCCATGACGGTCATCATCTCCCTCATGTCCAGCCTCGCTCTCTTTGCCCTCCTCACCATCGCCACTCTGTACTGCTGCCGAAGAAGGAAAGAGTGGAAAAACAAGAAACGGTGAGGTTCGAGTCCAAGCCCGCCACATACAGTCATGCCTTATAGCCCACATAGTCAGTTCTGGAACTGGGGACTAGAAGAAAGAGTGTCTGCCACACCACCGTCACCGTACTAACGCCCATGCCCTGGCTGTAAAATTAGACACCTCACTTGAACTTTAAAAATGTCACAAGTACCAAAGTCAGTTTTTCCAACAGAGAGAACTTAATCATTTGGCAAAAATGGCTACTCCTGCATCCTGTCTTCTCCCACCACTGCCGCTGATACAGATAGTGATAAAATGGGTCTCTCAACTAGAGGCCAAATGACACACTTCGTTGTTCTCAAGCCCAAGAGCCCTCAGCAGACTTAGTACTATACACTCTAGGCATTTCTAAATATCCGTAAGGACCAAGATCAAAGGCTGTTGTTGGTCTCACCTCTCTCACCTGCAGGGAGTCAGCGGCCGTGACCCTCACCACTCTGCCTTCTGAACTCCTGCTGGACAGACTCCATCCCAACCCCATGTACCAGAGGATGCCACTCCTTCTCAACCCCAAGTTGCTCAGCCTGGAGTATCCCAGGAATAACATTGAGTATGTCAGAGACATCGGAGAGGGAGCATTTGGAAGGGTCTTTCAAGCAAGGTAAAATGAGCCATGGTGTGTGAGGGGCGCAGGGAGGAATCACTGGATCATTAGACTGATCTACTGTGTGCAAAGTTGATATCAAGTTTCTTAATCCTTTACATCATTTGTTTGAATTGAATGCTATTTTTGAAGATTTATTTATTTTTTTATTTTGCATGAGTTGGTGTTTTGCCTGCATATATGCATGTGCACCAGGTGGGCGCAGTGCCCACAGAGGCCAGAGGAGGGCACTGGATCCCCCTGGAACTGGGATTACATATAGGAGTGAGCCTCTGTGTGGATCCTCAAAGCAGTCAGTGCTCCGAGCCATCTCTCTACCCAACATGTTTATTTGGAAATCTCAATAACCCCCTTTTTACTAGAAAATAGTATATCTAGAAAGAATGTAGTGTGCTGCACTTAAATTTGTAATTTATAGGAAATCCAATAAGCAGTTTACAAGAAGTTACTAGGAATTCAACTATATTTCCCTTCTAGGAAATAATTTTCTATACATTTTAGCCATAATTTCTTACATTGCTTTGGTAACACTGTTTACTTCCTTTTCTTCTCTCGATTGTCATTCTCCGCTTCATTTCAAGTTTCCTTTGAATTTGTGTTTAAGAACTCAGAATTTGACTTCTGTAGACATTAAATGGACATTCATGGAATATCAAAACAGACAGGGAAAATGTACATATTAAAAAAATAATGAGTTCAGGAAAGGGGTATCTTACAGTCAATCATAGCTCATTTCTTGGCTTTATGTAAAATGGAATAAATACCCACTCTGTGTGGACGCTGCTCCACAGACATCTAGCTGAGCATCAGGATATGGAATTGGACTTCATCACCAGTTTTCAGTCTTGTCGTTATGCAGGCATGGCCCTATTTCCACTTAACACAGCCTTGATTTTGAGGTTGCATTTAAAATGAAAAGTCTCACACACTATGAGACTGGCAAGTTGCAACTTTAGGCTGTATGGGGACCCTAAAAGCCGTTGGCCATAGTCTTCACCGTTAAGGAATTTGTATTAATCAATAGGGGATTACAATGGACATGTTAGCGCTCTCTCTCTCTCTCTCTCTCTCTCTCTCTCTCTCTCTCTCTGTGTGTGTGTGTGTGTGTGTGAGAGAGAGAGAGAGAGAGAGAGAGAGAATGTGTGTTTATCTTCTAGTTCGTAAGTAACACACTATTAAAAATAATCTATGTTGAAAATAACTAGTGAATTTCCTGATTGGCATAAAGAAGTTGAAGCACGACTACTGTCTTCCTTTGGTTTGTGGCTCAGGAAAGGCTGCATGGTGGGGGCTCTATAAATGTGAATAAATATAATTCCAGGGTATAAACATCCCCATCTGCGGTTTATCTCTTAGGGCTCCAGGTCTACTTCCTTATGAACCTTTTACTATGGTGGCCGTAAAGATGCTGAAGGAGGAGGCCTCTGCAGACATGCAAGCAGACTTTCAGAGGGAGGCGGCCCTCATGGCAGAGTTTGACAACCCAAACATCGTGAAGCTCTTAGGTATGAAAATGTCACCGAAGGAAAAGGCTTCTTCAGAGAAGACCTTTTCTAACCTTTCTTCCATCAGTGGCATGTGTCTCTTTCCTCCTTTCCTAGTTTAGAATCTTCATCCACTTTCTGACATACAGTCCACCCCAGCTTTCAGACACTCGGGAGCTCACAGATACCCCTTTAATTCCATCGCTTCCAACTGTCTCAGTCACTACTGCCTCTGTTCTGACTAGAAACTGTTTCAAGCATCTCCTCACGAAGAACATTCCCTTGACACTAATTCACCATCACAGAATTTAGTAAAGCTTGGAAGTATGTATATCATATGTCCACTTTATTTCTTCCTTAAACTAGACCATCATGATTTCAATCATATTTTTGTTCATTGTTATGTCTCCATTTCATCACAGATTCATAAATTTAACAAGTATTCCCTGAACAGTTTATAAAATTACATAGAAATAGATAAACCTTTCAACATTATCAGGCCTTGTGGAGCTTACATTCTTTTGGGGAGATAGCAGAGGTAAACATGCATAAATGTGGCTTATATGCCTCTGATTTGTTTTAAAACTCAAAGTAAAGGAAGACTCTTTGGAATGTGAGCTACTATCTTTGAAGACTTCAGTGGACATGTGACATTTGTGTAAAGGCCGGGCTGATACGAGAGAACACTGTGGAGAGACTGGAGAATGCACAGGCCCCACGGCAAGCTAATCTAGTGCCGAAAGCACAGCAGACAGGGCTGGGAAGAGGATGCTCTGCACATAGTGTTCACTGCACCAACATAGGGCCTGCGTTTAGATCCCCTGCACCCACGTAAAGGCTGGGTATGGTGACACATGCCTGTAAATCCCAACACTGGAAGAGCAGACAAGAGGATCCCTGGGACTTGAAGTCAACCCTCCTAGTGGGGTTGGTGAGCTCCAGGATCAGTGAGAGACTCTGTCTCAAGGAAAGAAGGTAGGGGGCAACTAAGGAAGACATATGACATTGGTGTCTATACTCCATACATGGGCACATGCATGTGCACACATACCTACACACACATACACCCTTACACACAAACATAAACATGTGCACACACACACACACACACACACAGAGAGAGAGAGAGAGAGAGAGAGAGAGAGAGAGAGAGAGAGAGAGAAAGAGAATAGAAAAGTGATGGAGATGGTTTAAGAGAGTGATGTAAGGCTGGATTCAATAGTAAATGCAGTGGGGCAGTAGGAAGATCCTGCAAGGCCTTCACATAAAGATCAAAAGAATACTGAGAGGGGGAGAAATAGTCTTCCTCAGGGAAGAGCTCACAACTCTTATCCAATACCAAATGGCCAGCCCTGACAATGTACAGACAAGTAACATTAAATAGACTAACCAGGTTGTATTTAGAATATGCCTGTTATACACACACACACACACCTACACATATGCATGTAATAACAATTAATGAAAGGAGGCTGTGAATTTGAAATGAATAAATTTGAAACAAGGAGGGGGAAATGAAATAATTAGAGTATAATCTCAAAAATGAAAGGCAAAACCCCCTGACTTTTGAAATGTAAGTAAAATGGGAATCAAACAGAAAGTCTAGCCAAGAAGTGCCAATCCATGGCATGACGTGATTCACACCCTCCGCGGCGGCCCCCCCCCCCAGAAAGTCTGTGTCTGCTTTGTTGAGCAGGGTTGAAGGGAAGGCACTGAAAACAAGAGCACAGTGAATGGCGTCTTTCAGTATGCAGGAAAAGACGCTGGCACAGGTCAGGGAATAAGTGGTGAAGTAATAAGAAGGCATGGGTCTGTGTGCAACTTGAAGGTGGAGCCAAAGAATCCCTTGACAGAGCAAATGTGATTTTTGCAACAAAGAAGGGAGACAAGAAGAAGACCACACATTTTGTTTAGGCTTTGCTAACACCCAACAAGAACCAAGATTCATACTACATATAATAATTGGAGGTTGAAGAAGGATCAAGAGTTCAAGAGTTCAAAGTCACAGTTGGCTCAAAATGAACAGCCGTGAGACTACATTGCATGCACACTTTTTCTTGAGAGGAATATGTTGTCCAAAGCTTCCTAATGTAAGAATTCTTTCCAAACCAATTCAACTATTGTAACAAGAGCAAAGTCACCTGATACTATAGGTAAATAATTACTGACAAAAACCCAAAGAAAATTGTGTAGGAGGGAAAGTGAAATGTGACCAACCTTTGACTTCCTATTGAATGTACACATTGTCAGCTAAAATCCTTTGAATTAAAGAACTAACTAGAATCTATTTCCTATTTCTCCTATTTCCTTCAAACTGAAACTTCTAGTTTTGCCCTGAAAAGCATAATAAATCTGACAGTCTTTCTTTATTGTAACATGAAACTATGCCCATCAGACATAGTGGCACAAGCTCAACATTTACTTCTCACATATAGTAAGATGCTAAGGTTTTTCAAATGTCTTCCTCACACTACATAAAACTCTGTGTGTATGAACATTACTTTCTTTATAGAATGGACATCAAAGATAAAACTCTAAATTTCAAAGTATTTTACTACAACCACCTAAGAAATTCCTCCAAGAATCTTGGGTTCTTTGTATTTTTCTTCCTAAATGTGGTAGATATTTCTGTAAATGGAAGTTTCTGTCCCTCCTGGTTCCACAGCCATTCAGTTCCAAGGAAACACACAGAGGCTTATGTTAATTATAATTAATATTTGGCCTATTAGCTCAGGCTTATTATTAACACGCTCTTACAAATTTAATTAGCCCATAATTTTTGTCTGTGTTTAGCCACATGATTTGGTATCTTTTATCAATAAGGCATTCTCATCTTGTTTCCTCTGCATCTAGCTAGTGACTATATCCCTTCCTTTCCTCTTCCCAGAATTCTCTTAGTCTGGTCACTCCATCTATACTTCCTGCTTGGCTACTGACCAATCTGCATTTTATTAAACCAATGCAAGTGGCAAATTTTTACAGCGTACAAAAGCATTATCCCACAGCATATTTCTTGTTCTCATTCTTCAGAGAACTAAACAGAATGATTACGTCACACATTCCCAGAAAACCCCTGTTTCTGAATTCACTTACCATATGTTACTTTGCACCTGCTCTCCAGATACCTGGTCAGTTGGAGGGATTTAAAGAAACAGGGAATAATCTCTCCATTCCAAGAGATAAAATGTGTGAGAAACGTCTCTAATACAATGGATGTGTATGAAGGAAGGTGGTAGGTACTATACGGAAAGATAACCGAGGGGAAAACATCTTTCTGGCTTGGTCCTTTAATTTTGGAATGCTTTTTTACTGTGTAAAGACTCAGCCTAACCAAGATATTATTTTGATTGCAGGCGTGTGTGCAGTAGGAAAGCCTATGTGTCTGCTCTTTGAATACATGGCCTATGGTGACCTCAATGAGTTCCTCCGAAGCATGGCCCCTCACACCGTGTGCAGCCTCAGTCACAGTGACCTGTCCACAAAGGCTCGGATGTCCAGCCCTGGTCCTCCACCCTTGTCGTGTGCAGAACAGCTCTGTATTGCCAGGCAAGTGGCAGCCGGCATGGCCTACCTGTCTGAGCGCAAGTTTGTCCACCGGGACTTAGCCACCAGGAACTGCCTGGTGGGGGAGAACATGGTAGTAAAAATTGCAGACTTTGGCCTCTCCAGGAACATCTACTCTGCAGACTACTACAAAGCTAATGAAAATGACGCCATCCCTATCCGTTGGATGCCACCTGAGTCCATCTTCTACAACCGTTACACCACAGAGTCGGATGTGTGGGCTTACGGTGTGGTCCTCTGGGAGATCTTCTCCTATGGCCTGCAGCCATACTATGGCATGGCCCATGAGGAGGTCATTTACTATGTGAGAGATGGCAACATCCTCTCCTGCCCCGAGAACTGCCCCTTGGAACTGTACAACCTCATGCGCCTGTGTTGGAGTAAGCTACCCGCAGACAGACCCAGCTTCTGCAGTATCCACCGGATCCTGCAGCGCATGTGCGACAGAGTAGAGGGAACGGTGGGTGTCTAGGGTTGACTGTGCTCAAACAACCCCCAACAGGCTCTTTCCAGATGGTGGGCCGGAGAAATCCTACAGCAGAGACTGGATAGGACCAGAGAGGAAAGGGTTTAACATAGACATCCCAAGCCAGTAGCTTGTTTGCAGCAAGAAACAGATCGCGAAAAACCCACAGATTAGGAGGGTCCCATTGAAATAGGAGGTTGGAGAACCAAGCTAGGAAAATTAAGAGGACCGTAGGTGGCGCTTCACCCTCAAAGGGACAGTTCTGAATATATACTATATAAAGAGAATAGCTCGGGTTCCGTTTTTGCATCACCGCTCAGACTGAGCGTGCCGTGCTCAGTTGAACCCAAAGCCGTACGTGCAGCTTCGTTTTTTTTTTTATTATTTTTATTTTTCAGTTTCATTTTTGAAGGAAGACACTCTGTCAATTGTAAAAACAGTGTGTCTCTGCGCATTTAGATGAGGACAGGAAACTAAAGACAGGAAGCCATTCTTTCATTACTCAAGACACATGACCGGTTCTTTGTGTTGCTTTTCTCCTTTCTCGCGTTGAATGTGCAACCACATAGTCTCATTCTAGAGCTGCGCGTCTATTTTACTGATGGGTTTTTAAGGGATACGAAGTGGAAAACCTGCAAGCTCTGTGCTGACTGCAGGTCCTGGCTTCTTTTCTCTGCCTACTCTCCACCAGAAGCCCTTCCTTGTGTGCCCTCAGCTTCGAGGTGATTTTTTTCGCCTCACTCCTCCTGCTTTTCTGCAAAAAAAAATTTCATAACTTACCAACTTACCTTGCTTTATGAAAACTATATTGACACATTTTTTTCCTTAAACTATCATAGGCGACAGATACATTTTATTTTTATCTCTGTCAAGTATGGTATTTTTCTTTTCTATGTGCTCTTGGGTTTGCCGTACAGTAATTATGTTTATATTAATATTGTAAAACATGAGGTATAACATCAGTTATTGCAAGATGCTTCGTGGTTCCAAGTTATTTCACAAGGAATGTTTTTGTCCATTCTGACTGGTTGTCTTTTAGAAGGCATTTTGATTGATGGGTCCTGTGATTAGCAGAGCACTGTGCAGAAGTTCTGCAGAGTGGATCAAACCACCACGTTACTTAATATGATTTTTTTAACTTCCTGGACTCAGGACCCCCCGTACCTAAAGTTCTTCAGTGGAAACCTACACACATACATAAGGACATGTGGAGGTGACTTATCATCTGTTATCTATGTATGATTTCAAAGCCTACACCATATACCTTGTTATTGTTTTTCTAAGGGTTTTCAATGACTAGGAAGAAAGCCTATTTAGTATTATTAATTTCAACCTATCTAAACATCCAATGGATGGCATGTTTGTCTCAGCATGAGTTTTACTTGCACTTTTGAATTAAAACCACTAAGTTATTTCCTTTGTAGCCGGCTAGAGTGTGGCACAGTGTAGGAACATGGGTCCAGTACAGCAATTTGAAAAGAGAGAGATGTTACTAAGTGCAGGATTATATCAATAAGTCACCAGTAAGTCTGTGAAAGTGTCCAGATACCCAACACAGCCAAGCACCAGGTTATTTTGCACATGGTGTCAAAATACGTCTGGAATTAGGATAGAGTAGAAAAAGAAAACTTTCCATCACTTCACAGTTTTATTATGAGTTTGTTACATGTTGTTATTCTAAAAACGAATGTAATGTCTGATAATATCTATGGGTATCCCATAATGTAATCAATCTTAGATTTCTGAACATGTAGGATTCTCTTAGTTTCATCATCATAAACAGTATTATGATCACCTACACTTGTACACAGCCCTACATACCTCTTTACTGGCAGTCCAAGAAAAGAAATGTATGGATCACATGGCATGCACACTATAACAACTTTTGCCATGGAGCCTGGAGAAATAGCTCTGCCGAGAGTACACACTGCTTTTGCAAGAACTGGAGTTCATTTCTCGGCACCCAACTTGCAACCACCTGTAATTCCAGGTCCCAGGCGTTTCTATATCTCTGGTCTCTGAGGGCATCTGCACTCATGGGCACATACCCACAAGATACATAATTAAAATAATAATAAAAATAAAACTTTTATTGTGTATTGTCACAGTCTCTTAGACATGTTATCATAGCTGCATTGTACAAGAGAACCTATAACACTAAGCATTTGCTATGATAAAAAAATTAATAGCCTTTTATGACCGTTTTTATATGTGGGTACACAAGCATATGCACGTGTGTGGGGTGTTGCCCAGTGTCATGGTGCACACGGAGAGGACAGAAGACAAGCTCTAGTGTTGGCTCTCATCTTCTCCTTGTTTGAGACAAGATGTCTTTTTGTTTGGCACTGACCTGATAGCTCCTTGGGCTTCTCCTGTCTATAACTCCATCTTGCTGTAGAAGCATAGAGGTTACAGCAGGGCTTACTGCATATGGGTTGATGCGGGTTCAGGTCCATCCCTATGAGACAAGGAGTTTACCCACCTAATACTAAAGAAGAGAATGCCATTTTCATTTCAAACTCTGGTGAAATTGAACTGGGCACAGCAGCACAAGCCTTCAATCCTAGTACTTGGGAGCCTGAGCCATAAAGGTCAAAATTTCCAGCCCAGCTTTGGCTACACAATAACAAAATTCAGTCTCAAAAAGTAAAAGTAAGAATTGAAATTTTCTTTTCCTACGTCATTTATTTATAGTTTTGTTTTAGTAATTGCCTGCAGTCTAATTTTTTTACTTTGTTCATTTTAAAATTGAAATGTAAGGTTTATTTTATAAAAAGCTAATTATGCTTCTGCAATACTTCATATGAAGAGAAAATAGATGTACATTTTACCTTCCAGTAAATGTTGCTTTTTCTTATGAAAAGGAAAAATAACAAGCAACAAACATTAATAACATATACTTCACAATAATAATAAGCCATCATAAAAATGAAGAAACACCAACTGCTGCTTTTTAATTTTAATATTACAAAAATATTCTACCACCATTTATCAATAAGTAGGTAGGGAAGTAGATGGCAGATAGAAGACAGACAGACAGACAGATAGATCATATATAGTTAGGTGAATAAATGATAGAGATGATAGTTATATAAACAGATCAACAGATGATTGATAGATAGAAAAACAGAGATGAGAGACAATCTAAAGCAAAGCAGACAGAATGATACTGTTAAACAGATTTGAGCTGTGTTCTTATAATCTAATGTATGCTACTATTTTCTGTATCAAAATATTCATGTACAGCATCACTTGTAATGATTGGATGTATGAATTTATCATAGTTTTTATAATGTAATAGTTCATTGTTGGAATTCTGCTTATATCTATTTTTCATAATAAAATATAATCTTTCAGAATCTTTATTGCTGGATATTGTGAACATTTTTCTTAAGTAATTTCTTTAGATATCACTCCCAGAAGTGGAATCTATAGGTTAAAGGGCACTTGTACTTTTAATGGTTTTGAATATACTGGCAATTCCATTTCTTGATTAACTTGTCAATACATATATCTTCCAGACAAATGACAGAACACATTTCTGGCATTTCTCCCAGACTCACCAATTCTAAGTACATTAGCATTGTGATCATTGCCACTATAGTAACTCAGAATTTTTCATTTTGTAGCTTGTACTTGCAGTTATTTAAATATTGATTATTTTAAATATTTCTCAATGTTTTGAGCACAGTTGACTTAGGATTTGTGTGATACTAATATTTTTCTGTTGAGTGTACCTTTTTCTCATTGCTTTATAAAAGCACTTTATATATTAAAGCATTAAATTTTGTCATACACCTTTGAATCACTGCTATTGTGTTGGAATATAGATTTTCTTGTGTCTTTGTTATAAGTTTTTATTCATTGAAAAATGATGCTGAATTTCAACATATTCAAATGACTAATTTTCCCTAGTTGATATGTTAATAATGTAAATTGACTTCTTATTATTGAAACCACCTTGTATTCTGAGAATAAATTCTTTTTGGATGTCAAGCTTACATTTAACTTTTGATCTGTTAAGATTCTGCACCAACATTTCTAAGTCAAAAATTTGTCATTTCCTTCTCTGTTACAGTTTTATTTGCAAAGTGATGGTTTCATAGATTTAAGAGATTTTTATGTATGATATTGGCTAATGCTATGGTTTGGCTGTGTCCCAAAGGGTCATTTTATGGAAGCTTGGTCCCCGGGTGACATGACTGAGAAGCCCTGAAACTGTTATAAGACCAGGGGTAGGGTGGTTTGATTGTATGCGGCAAAGGCATTGCAGGCAGCACCCTCAGAAGAGATTAGTTCTGGAGTCTTAGAGTAAAAAAGTCTTCACAATAGTGGGTTGTCATGAAATGAGGTCACTTCTTTTGTGTGTACCCTACTATGTGTTCCAGCTTCCTCTGTATTTCCTGGACATGTTGTCATAGTCAGCAACCTAGTACCTTACTGTTTGGACACTCCATCTACCAGAATCATAAGCCAAATAAGGGATCGGTTTCAGGCACTTGGTTATAGCAAAAGGAAATAGAGTAATATATAAGTGTAAAAGGCCCTCAGACCTTAGTAGGCCCCCAGACCTTAGCACAACTGATGCCATGATGGAAGCACCATTCAGGCTATGTAACTCAGCACATAGAAAGCACACCTGCCAAAACTAAAATAAAGACCTAATCCTGATGTGGGATGTCCTTCTGTATATGCGTTGCATTTATTGGGTAATGAATAAAACTGTTTTGGTCAATGACTTAGCAGAGTAAAACCAGGTGGGAAATATGAACAGAGATAGAGATAGAGAGAGAGAGAGAGAGAGAGAGAGAGAGAGAGAGAGAGAGAGAGTAGGCGGAGTCAAAGAGATGCCATGTAACTGCCAAAGGAGAAAATCGCCAAAACGGAAACTTACCCTGTAAGCCACAGCCTTGTGGTGATACACAGATTAATAAAAATTGGTTGATTTAAGATGTAAGAGATAGTTAATAAGAAGCCTGAGCTAATAAGCTAAGCAGTGTTGTAATTAATATAGTTTCTGTATGGTTATTCGGGTCTAGGTGGCTGGCAAATGAACGAGCCATCTCCCACTACAAAATGACATCCACTGTGGGACAACAGCATCCACATAAAAACAGAGAGAGCTTGGGAAGGAATCTAGACACAAAAGAACAAAGTTAAGCACAGCTTCTTGGTAGCTGTATTGTTTTTGAATAAGCTCTGTTTGCTGACAGCAAACAGAGACTTGGCTACTTTAAGAGAAGGCTTCCTGACTCAGCATAAGCAGCAAAAACTGAGGCTTCTTTAAAAGATGGCTCCCTGGTTCGTGCTGGCAGAATGAACTCTGACTCTTTCAGGAGGTCCTGCACTTAAATGGGGTCTGTGAGCACTGTGTTATAAATTGCTTAATGGCAACATAGACCTACTGTGTCCCTGGAACTGGGGTGGTGTGCATGGCACATAGAGGTGGTGAACCTACCTCTGCCATGTTGGACTGGGCAGAGCACGCAGGTAGGGTGCTGGAGTTGGTCCTAGCCATACCTGCTTAGCGTTTTTTTTTTAAAAAGGGGAGGGGGCTCCTGGTCAGAAAATACTTACAGATATGCAATAAAGACAGATTCAGATGAAAAAGAACTCTAAATGGGTCAGTGTTTTAAAATGCACATAGGCTTGGGAGAGAGAGGAAAAGAGTATAGACTGTTATGAAAAGAAGAAAAGTCTTTAAAGAGACAGTGAGAACAATAAGAGAGTACAGTCATAGAATAGATTAAAGGACTAAAGAAAAAAGTCACATAATTGTGGAATATACACAGAGAATCTGAATTATATATATTATTGGGCTTTCTTTGAATTTTTTGACTACAAAGAGATATTTGATTCTAGGGGCTACTAAGTTAAACCAACATAAAGGTATCTTGACTTCAAAATTTGGGTCTAAGGATATGTTACTTGGAAAAG